CTCCCGGCCCTCTAGTTCCCTTTTTTTTTTTTTTTTTTTGAGATTTTTGTTATAGAATGTGTGCACTCATCAGAGAGCTAGAGAGACAGAAAACGAGAAATCACCCTGGGGTGGGATGGTCATACCATAATCCCTTCTCTATTCTCCCCTTGGGATTTTGGGCATGCACATACTTGTACCTGGTCTAAGTTTCAAACCACCCAACCCAGGATTTGAACCACGGTTAGCCATGTGGGAGTCCAATGATGAAACCATTACACCATCTGCTGGTCCCCCTAGTTCTATTTTTTAGAAGATGTCTGGCATTTCCTAACAACGTGGCCTCATTCAAATATTCATCCATTCACCAAATAATTGAGGCACCTTCTATGTTGTGTGCAAAGGCCCAGACATATATGAGGCCACTATGGTTCTCATACCTGAAGTACATTCAGCTAACGAAAAAGGCTGACAAAAAATAAGTAATCACAGGGTATGTGCAATTGGAATGAACACAGGGTTTTAGAGTCCTGGCTTAAAATGTGGTTTACTGAGTCAACCCCATGGCCCAGTGACTAAAGGAGACAGATCTCCCACAGCTGACCACAGTTGGAATCCAGCCTGGTGGCCTGAGAAACAAGCCAGGCATGTGTGCACATGTACCCAAAATCTGGACAGGAGAGATGGAGAAGAGATTGCAGCATGACCGTGCCCGACTGGGAAGCCCGACTGGGAAGTATTTTCTTCCTCTTCCTCTCTCTGGTGAGTGTTCGCGACCTCTGGCAATTTTAAAATAGATCTGGCTTTACCTCTAGCATGCAACTTTGTAGTTACTTTAAGTCTCAGTTATCCTCTCCTGCACAATAGAAATAATAACAGTATCTACTTCATAGGGTGCTATAAATGGGATAATTTATAGAGTGTGTAGCTCAGGACCTGCCTAGGATTCATTAATGATATATATGTATCTTCTACAGTTTGCTCTTTTTCATCAGAGATACACTTTATTTAAAGCAGCCTCTGCCCTTCCCTTCAACAGTACCTGTTTGGGACCTATTTATTTACTTCATGGCATTTGTTACTATCTCTATCTCCTTTATTTACATCTACTTATTTACTGACAAGGAAGTCTCACACAACTGACCACAGTTAGAAAGTAAGGCCGCACCACCCCGAGAATTTTGCTATAGGGTGTGTGCACTTGCCCCGGAGGGAGGAAACCCCCAGGGGAGATGGCCACACTGCAATCCCTTCTCCGTTCTCCTCTGGGGATTTTGGGGTCGCATACACACACGCCCCGCTTAGTTTCAGGCGGCCAGGTCCGGCCAGAACCGCAGTTAATACGTGGGAGCCAGCACGTTAACTATTATGCCATCCGCTGGTCCCAGGAAGTAAGCTCTTTAAGCGGCCTCGTTCACCTCTCTAATAGTGCTCCCATGCAGCAGGTGCGCAGTAAGGTTTGTGGAGGGTCCCCTGTGAATAATCACAAGCTCCTGAACCGCCTTTTTCCTAAAACGGAGACCATGATGGTGATAAATCTACCAGACAGGGTGTCAGAAATTAAGGGAAACCAGACCAGCATCCATTTTTACTCCCACTCTGAGGCACACGAAATCAGCAGCATTTGGAAACCCAGCCGGCTCAGGGGTGAAGGGAGGAGTCCAGGAAGTGAGGCCTGACAGATGACAAGCAGTAGGGCAGACCCGGCCCTGGGGCGGAGGAGGAAGTAGACCTGACAGGAAGAAAAGGGAAGCCAGACCCTGGACTTGAGAAATGAGAAATAAAAAGCTCTCGGCGTCGCGGCTGCAGTGCGGCTTCGGGAGCCTGCCGGGCTGGGGAGGAGCGGAAGCCCCTTCCAGAGCCAGAGAAGGGGTCGGCGTTGAAGAGAAGGGGCGGGCAGAGCGGAGGCGGCCTCTTCTCGAGTCCCGGGCTTCTGGCCTGCTCTTGCAGCATCCCCACTCCCTAGCGCCGACACCCCCGGTCCTCCCAATCCAACCCGACAGGGAGCAGACCCATCGCTCGCCTCTCCCCGTCACAGGCCCCGCTTCTGCCTTCGTCAGCCCGCCATCCTCCCCAGTCGCCGCCGTCTGCCCAGATCTCGGGCTCAAACCCTTACCGGCATATCGGCAGCACCCGGGTTTCCACCTAGACCAGAAGGATCGGGTTAGAGCGCGACGCTTCCGGTCCGGCTGCCTGGGCGGGGTAGGCGGAAGTGAGCCGGAAGGGGAGGGCCAGGAAGGATGAGGCGCTTCCGGCCTTGCAGCTCCCTGCGGCTGCGCAAAGGGCCGCCAGGGGGCGCCAACACATCAGGCAAAGTGTCTGAGTGCCGCGCATGCGTGCAGGGCGACCAGTATGGCGTTTCAGAATCCCAGGGTTGGATCGCCTCCTTTGTTTTTCTTTAAATGATCCCTTCAGTGAAGCATTCTTGGTCAAGCTATTTCAAATACAACTCCCCTCCACGTTCGTCTTTCCCGTTTTTTTTTCTTTCTAGGGTTCTCTGACTAGTTTCCTTTTGGTGTTTGCTTCCCATCTAGATGAACGTCAAAAGGCAGGGATTTTGTCTGTTGACCGTGCCTATGTGATGGCACACAGTAAACATCACTAAATACTGAGTGAATGAATGAGTCCAACCCACTGCTTTTAAAATGGGGCACAGAAAAGAAGGGGGTGTGCAGTTCTTTTGTGTAATGATTGCGAATTGGGCTCTGGGTTTGAATCTTTCATCCCGTGTCCAGAGAGGAAGGCAACAGATTCTGGACCGTTCATTTCTTCCCCACGAGCACCTACCAGACTCTCCAGAAGCTAGCCAGAGTACAGTTTAAGGAGCAAAGAAGAGGGCAAGTAAAAAGCTTCATCTTCTTTCCTCCTCTTCCTTGTGACAAGGTTCTAAGAATTAGCAACACTGGGAGATCAGGTTTTTTCACTCTTTTAAAGACTTATTTATTTTAGTCCATTTGTTATTATAAGTGGTAGTAGTATATTAATTTGACCAAAGAGAGAAAGAAAAAGGGAAAGCGAGGGACCAGCAAGCAGATGGCTATATCACTGGACTCCCATGTAGTCGACCGTGGTTCGAGTCCCAGACCTGGTGGCTTAAACTCACACCAGGCGTGTGTGCATGTGTGCCCAAGATCCCAAGAGGAGAATGAAGGAGAAGGGACTGCGGTGTGGCCACCACCACCCCCGCCCGCCCAGGGGGTGATTTCTTGCTTTCTGTCTGTCTCTGTCTTTTTGGTGCGTGTGCCATATAGCAAAAACCTCTCTAAAAAAAAAAAAGAAAGAAAGAAAAAGGGAAAGTGAGAAAGTAGGCCGCCAAGTCTGGGGCTCAAACTGCGATTGGTCTTGTGGGAATCCAGCACCCTTAACTACTATGCCACCTGCTGGCCCCAAGTTTTTTTACTCTTTCTAATCTAAGGGCCATAGTAAGTCCCCAAGCAGCCCCACACACCTGCACAGTGCATACTCATCATGTTCTTTCCTGATTGCTCCTGTGAGAACAGCCCACACCAACAGACCATCCCCCAGTCTGGGTCCAAAGGCACTGGCTACTGCTGTTACCTCTTCCTTCTCTAAGTAATCTAATTTAGAGCCAGCACATGGCATGATAGTTAAGGCATTGGACTCTCACATGGCTGACTGCATTTCAAGTCCTGGACCTCGTGGCTTGCTTTCTCACTTCCCTTTCTCTCTCATCAAATTTAAAAATAATAACAGGAATCAGCAGATGGCATAATGGTTTACATCACTGGACTCCCATGTAGTCAATCGCCGTTCAAGTCCCAGACCGGGCAGCTTAAAACTCAGGCCAGGCATAAGTGCATGCATGCCCAAAATGCTGAGAGAATGTTTGGAGAAAGGACTGCAGCATGGCCATCCCCCGGGGTGGAGTGTTCTCTGTCTCTCTGGCGAGTGTAGGTGCCCAAGAGCAAAAATCTCTTTAAAAAAAAAAAATAAATAATGACATAGCCATTACGCCAACTGCTGGTCCCTAAAATAAAATAATTCTTTAAAAAAAAAAAAAGTATCTAATTGCCACTGCAGGTGCACTTTGCTATCTAGACCCCAGAATGACAAATTTTAACCTGAGTTGCAGGTGTTCTATATCAGCTCTAACATGGGTAACTGACCAATAGAGCCTAGGTCTGTTGTGAGGCTTAGATGAAAGATTACATAAAATGCTTAGCACAATTCCTGCAGTACTCAGTGAGAGCCAGTTTTGATTTAGCAGGGTCTGGCCTATGGCAAGTGCTACAGAAATATCTGTTAACTTGGGGCCAGCAAGTGGCATGGTGGTTAAGCGTGCTGGATTCCCACATGGCCGATCATGGTCTGAGTCCCAGATCTGGCAGCGTGCTTTCTCACACACACCCCGCCCCCCACTTTCACTCTGTCCCTCACTGGTCAAATTAACATAAATAAATAAATACAATTAAATAAATTTTTAAAAAAAGAAATATCTATCAACTATTTCCTAAGCCTTTTCACACTCCACATACACAAACTTAGGGGAACTAAAAACAATTTAACCAATGACACAAGTTAAAAGAAAAGTGATGTCTTTTGCAATTTTGTGTGTATATGGCATTATTTTTTAAATGTGTAAATTTTATTTATATTTTTTTAGTTTTTTTTTATAGGGCATGTGCACTCACCAGAGAGACAATTACAGAAGGGGAAAAGGAAAGTGAGAAATCATCCATCAACAGGGATGGTCACGCCACAATTCCTTCTCCTCCACTCTCCTCTTGGGATTTTGGGCGCATGCACACATGCACGCACGCACACATGCATGCGCACACACACACACACATCCAGCCTGATTCTCGCCACTAAGTCCAGAACTTGAACTGCAAAGATAGCCATGTGGAATCCAGCACCCCAAACTCCATGCCACCTGCTGACTCCCCAAAAATGTATAAATTTTTAAACACTCGAGACTAAAAGCCACATTTATAAAAACAATTACTACCTATATTTTGACATGGGAAAGTTTGTTCATTCAAAAATTTGCTCTGGGGGCCGGGAGGTGGTATGGTGGTTAAAGGCGCAGGACTCCTACATGGCCAATCATGGTTCAAGTCTTAGGCAAGGGGGCTTGCTTTCTCATTTCTATCTCTCTCTCTGTCTCTCTTTGGTCAAACTGTAAAATAATAATAAATTTAAAAAAAGGGGGGTTGACAGGTGCTGAGGTGGTTAAGGGCGCTGGACTCCCATGTGGTCAACCATGGTTCGAGTCCCAGACCTGGCAGCTTGCTTTCTTGCTTTCCCTCACTTACTCTGTCCCTTTCTGCTCAAATTAAAATAAATAAATAAATAAAGTTAAATAAAATAATTCCTTTTTTATTTATTTTTTTTTTGAGAGGTTTTTGCTATAGGGCGTGTACACGCGCCAGACAGACAGAGAGTGACAGGAGGAGAGACAGAAAGTGAGGAATCATCCTCCGGGGGGATGACCACGCCGCAATCCCTTCTCCTCCATTCTCCTCTCGGAATCTTGGGCATGCACACACACGCGCCCGGCGTGAGTTTTAAGCCACCGGGTCCGGGACTTGAACTGCAGTCGACTACATAGGATTCTAGCAACACAGCCATTTTGCTAACTGCTGGTCCCAATAAAATAATTCTTTAAAAAAAATTTTGCTCTGGGTAAGTATTTCAAATTGTGCCCGGTAAACAAGAGTGTAATAAATGGTTACTCCTTCTTTTCTGTTTCTTTTACTTATACACACACTTGCTTATTCGAAACATAGTTACTTTTAATTTTCTTTATAATTATTTATTGTATTTATTTTTATTTATTTATTTATTTTAATTTGACCAAAGGAGAGACAGAAAGAGGGAAATAAGAAAGCAAGCCTTCAGGTCCAGGACTCAAAATACGGTTGGCCATATGGGAGTCCAGCACCCTAACCACCACACCACCTGCTAGACCCTAATTTTTAAATTATACATTTTCTTTAAAAATATACATTATTTTTTTAATTGCTAGAGGGTGCTTGCTTGCCCTTTATAGAGAGAAACCAAGAAAAAGAAAAGAAAGCCCCTTCCAGTGATGCATGCTCATGTCACATCCCTTTTCCATTTTCCACCCTATTGGGAGTTGGGGCATGCACACGGACCTGGCAAGTTTTTTAAGACACTAGGGCTGAGGTCCAAACTACTGTGGGCTGGATGGAATCTAGTTCCCTTAACCACTAGCCCATGGGGCTAGCCCACAAACATTTTCTTTTTTAATTTTTTTCACATTCTTTTTAAAAAAATAATTATCTAATGCCATTCATCACCATCACTATTACTTTTAAAATCTGGCCAGAGAGATACAAAAAAGGCAAGAAAACAAACGGCCAGGTCTGGGACTCACACCGTGGTCAGCCAAAGGGAGCTCAGCACCCAAACCAGCACGTTACCCACCGGCCCCCAGACAATACGTTTTCAATGTAGGAAAAAGAGAAGATTCAGGTAAGCAACGGTCCTATCTATAGCCTTCCAGGTTTGTTCCTACATATACATATGTATATTGTTATAATCATTCCTGTCCCTGAAAACCAACAAAAGTCAAACAGTAAAAATAAAGTGAGGTGGGCCTTGACTACAGCACAAGCGCTAATTTATATTATATACAAATCTACATGCATTCCATTTCCACTCTTGAACTCTAAACCAATGCTGTTAAAAGAATACTTAAAGATTCCACTTTAAGCAGCAACAGTTTCAAAAGTACACAGAACCTGATTCAGGCGTGCTGCTGGTAAAGAGCCAAGTACTACTTTTTTCATTAATGCAAGCCCCATCTACCATCGTGTCCTTCGAAGAGAAGAATATTTTGCTGCATTGGCTACAAGATCTTCATGTATATAGTTATTTTTTGGCAAACTCTTCATTCATTCTGGCGTTCTTGAAAATATTCATCAAACATAGAGGAAGACTCTTCTTCATGTTCCTGACATAAGACACAAAAGAAACACAAAACAGAAAGTACATTAATTTCCCCTCAGACACTATGTTTTTACATGCTGTTTCATGTGATGTCCCTCTCACACTAATGCCAACACTAGCTCCACGTGTTGCTCCAAGTAAGGAAAAGGCATGAAGAATAGAATTTTTCCAGATATGTGGTAAACTAATATGTTCATCTCTCAATGGAAGCATTTCTCATTTGAATTTCATCAGTAATGATTCTCTGCTCATCTGCTGTGACAGTGCCTATTGACAACTGTCATTAAATGTCTTCCCACTGATATATGTACAGGAGCCCAAGTTCAACTGGATTTCGCCTACTGTTTGCACACAGGGCCAAGCTCTGAGTACAGAGAGACTGAACTCAGGAACAGTGCCTCAGGAAAAAAGGGTAGAGTAAAATGGATACTGTTTGTTGAGCACAAGTGTCAAGTTCAGTGTCTACCCTGAAAAGCCCATGTAACCAGAATCGCTAAGACAAACTAACTTAAGGTCTTGCCAAGACTACCTAGGAGGTCAGCGGGTATTGGCAAATATTTTTACCAGAAGCCAACAAACACCCCAAATAAGGAATTACCTTTGGTTCTTTAAACTCCAAGTCTTCTCCGTACTGAATGGCGAAATCGATGTGCTGTAACACAATGTTCATGCTTTCTTCATCTGACTGATCATAAGGTAAGAAGCGAACCATGCTGTAGTCATCAATCTATGAGTTGGAGATTTCAAGAAACATTCATTCCAAAATTATGCAAAATATATCATTTTCAACTTATACTTGAGTTTTATAACCATTTGTACTTGTGATTAAAAACATTTGTATGGGGACCAGGAGTTGGCGTAATGGCTATGTTGCTGGACTAACATGTAGCCAACCACGATTTGAGTCCCAGACCCGGTAGCTTAAACTTATGTCAGGCACATGTGCGTGTATGCCCAAGACCCCAAGAGGAGAATGGAGGAGAAAGGATTGCGGCATGGCCATCCCCACTGGAGGGTTATTTCTCACTTTCTGTCTCTCTGTCTTTCTGGTGAACGCACACGTCCTATAGCAAAAACCTCTCAAAACAAAACAAAAAACAAAACATTTATATGTTTGGAGAAAGGGGCAGAGAAGGGCTAGCCAGAGGCAAATTGGTACTTTCTGACCTCTAAATGCTAGAACACTTGTTGGGCTATTACTTAACTAGACACTGAATTCAATTACCACTGGGAATTTCCTGAAGATGGAAACAGCTCTGAACTTTCCAAATGGTTTGAAATAATCAGCCTCTTAGTTCTTACTGGCCACCACCAATAACTACTTCTAAATAAACTGTTGACCACCAGCCAATAGCTCCTCTCCATGGTCTCCCCTTTGCAGAAAATAGGGTCAGACTGTGCTTTTTATAAAGGTGGCCACTGACAGGATGTGGTTAAACACTTGATCAGGTCACTTAGGAAAAAAAAGAACCAAAACGAAAATCATACTTAAAGAACTTACCAGTCCACATACAGCTTTAGTCAATTTTTTGAATTTTTTGCTTCTTAAGTCACTTGTAGAATCTTCTAACAAAGAATACATATCTGGATCTAGAAATCTTTAAAAGCAAGAAAGACTGATGAATACAAGAAAGAATAAATCAGGAAAGCAGATTTATACACAGACAATTGCACATCTACATAAAGCAGCAGGTTCATCTCTGCAATTATGATCTGATAACATATGAACAGTGAACTCACTTCTCAATTTCCTTCTTGGCTTTCTTACTCAGCAGATCCATTTTTGTCATGATGTTAACTTGTGGAATTTCTAGAGAGATCATGGCACTCAGGGCTGCCAAGATGCCAGAAATGAACTGAAAAAGGAAAGAGAAAAGGGAAGATGAATCAACTGCTGCCAACACAGTTCCTTGGTCTCATACAGAGAAGCTTCTGCTTCTTACTGAAACAAAACTGCTTAGCCTAAGTCACAGAAACGTTAATATCAAAGAAAAAAGACTAGGGCTGGTCCACAGTGCAGTGGTTAACTGCTGCGCATGAAAAGCCAAATCCCAGGTGGCTGATTGCAGTTTCAATATCAGTCCCAACGGCTTAAGGGCCATACTGGGCATGTGTGTGCCCCAGATCCTGAAAGGATGGATAGAGAGAGAAAAAAGGACTATGCGTTGTTGGGGGTGCTCTCTCTCTCTCTTTCTGGCAGTGTACACACCATCTGGTAGTTAAAAACAAACAAATAAAAAACTGTTCACTAATCAGGTAGTTGACTCCTGGTTCCCAAAGATAAGATGAGGAAAAAAGAAATAGATTTAATGGGGCAGCCTATAGCCTGGTGGTTAAGGGAGCTAGATTCCGGATAGCCAACCATGCAGTGTAGATCCCAGGCCTGGCAACTTGAGAAAAATCCTGGGCATGTATGTGTGCATGCCCAAAATCCCAAAAGGAGGAAGAAATGGAGGAAAAGGGATTGTAGCACAATCATTCCCCATGGAAGGTACTTTCTCACCTTCCTGATCTCTCTCCCTATCTCTTTCCAGTGAGCATATGTGCTCTTAGGCAAATTGAAAAAAAAAAAAATTTAAACATAAGAGAAGAGAATGGATTTAATGTACATGGATCACAAATGTCAATATAGTTTCATCAACCTACTATCCTGTCTCATTATCCTCGTAATCCTCAAAAATTAATACTGTTGAGGGAACGAGCAGTTAGTGTAATGGCTATGTCGCTGGACTCTCATGTAGTGGACTGTGGTTTGCGTCCTGGACCCGGTGGCTTAAAACTCACGCCGGGCGTGTGTACGTGCGTGCCCAAGATCCCGAGGGGAGAATGGAGGAGAAGGGATTGTGGCGTGACCATCCCCCCTGGGGGGTGATTTCTCACTTTCTGTCTCTATGTCTGTCTTGCGCACACGCCCTATAGCAAAAACCTCTCCAAAAAAAAAAAAAATTAATCTTGTTGAGAAATAAAATTTGATTTAGGTAGTTCATAAACAGGATGAAAGAGTCTCAGAATAGTAAAAATAGAAAATAGACATGTGGTACATAACAAGCTTTGGTCAAGGTCAAACTATACATGCAACAGTAGTCCTGCAAGATTATAATAGAGCTGAAAACTCCTTCCTACCGCCTAGTGACGCCCTAGCCACGAGACACTGTGTGGTCCCACTGAGTGTTGGGCAGATCTGCTGTAAACGAACCCGACGGGCTGTCATCATATACATGTACAGTACATCCACACTGCATGATCACCACAATACTTGATCACAACTGACTCTGCTACTGGTTTATGTATTAGTCATTTAGAATATACAGCTCCTATTTATATTAGGTCATCGGGAAAATCATGACATAGTTCTCTGTTTTTCTATGCAAAAATGCATCCATGACTTTCCCGACAATCCAATATGTAAAAAAGTTGTACGGTAAAACAGCAAGCTGTACTATGTCAACAGCAGCCTCATACAGCCAGAGTTTACTGCTTCTCCTGACTGCATCACTCGCTTATGCCTGATTTTATCTCATGTTGTTTAGTTCATCATGACCCTTCCAGTAGGAAATGATGTGGAGGTAGAAGATACTGATGCCCCTCTGTAGGCCTATGGTAATGTGAGTTTATGTTTTAGTTTTTAACAAAAAGTTTTAAAAAGTATTTTGAAAAGAGTTAAAATTAAAAGCTTAGTACCTTCCAGTGGTGTGGGTTAAGGTGGCTAGATCCCACATGGCCCACTGTGCAGTTCAAGTCCTGGACTTAGCAGCTCAAAAACATACCTGGCCTGTGTGTGTGTGTGTGTGTGTGTGTCCAAAATCTCAAGAGGAGAAGGGAGGAGAAAGGACTGTGCTTTTCTTTTCATTTCTTTTCTTAGTATTTTTATTTATTTATTTATTTTGAGGGAGAGGTTTTTGCTATAGGGCGCATGCATTCACCAGACAGAGACAGAAAGTGAGAAATCATCCCCCAAGGGGGATGACCATGCCGCAATCCCTTCTCCTTCATTCTCCTCTCGGGATCTTGGGCACGCATGCACACACGCCCGGCACGAGTTTAAGCCACCGATTCCACGACTCGCACCATGGTCAATTACATGGGAGTCCAGCAACATAGCTTTACGCTCACTGCTGGTCCCTCTTTTTTTTTTTTAAGAGATTTTTGCTATAGGATATGTGTGCTTGCCAGAGACAGAAAGACAAAGTGAAAAAGAAAAAAAAAAAAAAAAAAAAAAAAGACAGAAAGCGAGAAATCACCCTCTAGGAGGATAGCTGTGCCATAATCCCTTCTCATCCACTCTCCTCTTTGGATTTTGGGCATGCATGCACACTCACCCAGCTTGAGTTTTGAAGCCACTGGATCCAGGACTGGAACTGCAATTGACCATGTGGGAGTCCAGTGCCTTAACCACTATTCACCCACTGGTGCTGATTATTTTGGTGTTTCAAACTAAGTTAAAAGGATCCTAAAAGCTTATGAAGTGGGGGCCGGCAGGTGGCATGGTGGTTAAGGGTGCTGAACTCCCACATGGTTCAAGTCCTGGGCCTGCTGGCTTGCTTTCTCTCTCTCCTTTCTCTCTCCTTTATTCCTCCTGAGAGGAGAAGGGATTGCGGCATGGCTATCCCCCCTTGGGGGTGATTTCTCACTTTCTGTCTCTCTGTCTCTCTCTGTCTTTCTGACAAGCGCACTCACTCTATAGCAAAAACCTCTCCGAAAAAAAAAAGGAAAGAAAAAAACCTCTCCGGAAAAAAAAAAAAAAGAAAGAAAAACACAACAGGGGCCGGCAGGTGGCATGGTAGTAAAGATGCTAGACTCCCATGTGGTCAACCACAGTTCAAGTCCCTGACCTGACAGCCTGGTTTCTCAATTTCTCTCTCTGTGGTCAAATTAAAATAATAATAAATAAAATAAATAATTCAAAAATAGAAAAGAAAAAGAAACAACAGATTTATCCTCATACCTTGAATGACTCCACCATGAACTGAGAATCAACAAGAAACACTCCACAGACTCGGAACTCCCATTGTTCTAGCTGCTGGACTAGCTGTTTCATCACAGGCAGGTGAGTGTACAACTCAATCTGACCTACATGAAGAACATTACAAGAATATTACAAGCAGGAAATACATTAGCTTATCAAATTAGAGGAAACAAATATTTCCCTAAGATGGTGGGGGGAAAAAAAGAAACAAAAACAAGGACGTTAACGTTAAAAAAAGTATTTAATTTTATTTATTTTTTTATTTTTTTATTTTTTTTAAATTTGCTATAGGGCACATGTGCTCACAAGAGAGAGACAGAGAGAAGGAAAGTGAGAAAGAAAGCTGCTAGGTCTGGTTCTCAAACCATAGTCAGTCATGTGGGAGTCCAGTGCCCCAAACACCACACCACCTACTGGCCCCAAAAGTTAAGTCTTAATAGTAATACACTCCACTTACAGGGGCCTTTACCCTCTTAACACAATCAGAAAACCTGAGTTATTGCCACCATAGGAATTCCAAGCAAACTATTCAATTTTATAGATCAATCAGGAGTGAAAGCTACAACGGTGTGTGTGGTTTGAGAATATTCATCAAGCTACACACCTACAGTATGTGCACTTTTCTGTGAGTACATAAGCATGTTCAGTTAAAAGCAAGAGAGCGGGCCAGATGGTGGTGCAGTGGTAACGTAATGCTCTTCAGTGCAGGGCCCGCGTGAGAAGGTCCTGGGTTTGCATCACGGGTAGCCATGTATACACACTTGGAGTTCAAATATATTTATGACTATGATCCAAACTGACTGAGGTCATGGATGGATTGTGGTGTGAAGACTCTATTGGAAATGCTTGCCTCCCACTGGCCATGAAAGAAAAAAAATGAAAAAAACTTGAAAAGAAAAAAAGAGAAAGGGAAAAAATAGTGAGAGCTGTAGACTGTGGTTTGAATTCCACCTTGGAGGTTTGGAAGACATGCTGGGTGCATATGTGTGCATGCATCCCCAGGACCCCTATGGAATAGAGAAATGGAGAAGGATTGCAGTCTGCCTTAAAGGCCACCTGACCAGAAGACTCCCTGCTATGTAATGATGCTACTCCTGCAGAATACCTGCCACGAATGAGAATCATGTAGTTGATTTTTTAACATTTGTTTTATTAATTGCCAAAGGGGGCGTATACTTGCCAGCGAGACAGAGAAAGCAAGCACCCTGTAACAGGCATGGTCATACTGCAATCCCTTCTCCTTCAGTTCTCCGTAATATGAGGATTTGGGGAATATACATACAGCACTTGTATGTTTTTCAAGCCAGCAGGCCAGGATTCAAACTGCAGTGGACCACGTGGAATCTAGTTTTCTATGCATGGCATTTAATGTGCTACAAGGCTAGCCTGTGGTTGATTTTTTTTTAAGTTTATTAATTTATTCCACGAATAAGAGACACAGAGGGGGAGAGAAACAGACATACAGACAGACAGAGATACATCCCTGCAGGTCTCAACATGCATGCCTGGTGCACTCAGAGAGGTTTCCAGATGTGAACCAGCAATCCTACCACATGGGTCTGCCCTCCAGAGCATCACACATTACTGCTGCACCACTGCCTGGTCCCCCACATGAGGTACATGTGGGTGGAGACCATGGCTATCTGCTCTCTGTGCTATTCCCAGTGTACATTGGTAAACTCACTGCATGAATTAGAGCCAACACGTAAGAGCTTGTTAACTCACTGCTACCCTGCTTACTCTTTCTCCCACTGAAGACAGAACTATCAGCGCTTCGAGCAAAATGACACGTTCAAATTGTTGACTCACCTGGACAGTCAAAAAGGATGTAGTCATCCTCTACGTGACCCAGACAGTTCTCTAGCCAGTCAAAATTATTGGCAAAATACTCCATGCAAAATACCAACCCTCCATTGGGACCAAACCGCAAAGAATCATCCTCCATCACATCGTCTACCTCGATCAGTTCCCGGATGTCTGAAAAGGACACACAGAGTCCAGGGTGTAAGAGTGTCTATGTAGAACCTGAACCAGAGAGAGCTACTCCATAATGGGGAGGAAAAGACAGAGACATACAGAAAGCTGGCCTTGATTCCTATTGGTTCTAATCTCTCATAGTCATGTTCCTATGTTTTATGAAAGGCCTGCTGATTCCTCCTAATAAATCCTCTTTATTTAGGCTAGTTTGAGTGCTGTGTGCTGAAATAATCCCACACTACTGTAATGCCTTCTTTTTTTTTCTTTTTTTTTTTTTCAGAGAAATTTTTGCTATAGGGCGTGTGTGCTCACTAGAGATAGAGAGAGACAAAAAGCGAGAAATCACCCCCCAGGGGGGATGGCCATGCCACAATCCCTTCTCCTCCATTCTCCTCTCAGGATCTTGGGCATGCACACACACATGCTAGGCATGAATTTTAAGTAACTGGGTCCAGGACTTGAAGCACAACTGACTACATGGGAGTCCAGCAATATAACCATTACACCACCTGCTGGTCCCAACCAAGATATCATTTCATATCTTCTCTCTCCAACCCACCACTGCCCACCTCGCCCACATACAACTACTCTCAGCTAATGACCATACAAGTCATTAACAGAAATCAGAAGCAGACGAGAGAACTTTCGGTATTCCCATCACTAATACCACGCAATGCCTTCCACCTGCCTCCCCAACTTTTATTGCTGAAGGAGGGAGAAGGCTCTGCTTGGGACTTACCAGCCATTACTGAGTAGTTGAAGTGTTCTGCTGCTGGATCTAGGTTTACGACTTGGACAGACCGATTGAGGGCTTCACAGTGCTGGACCATGGTGGCACAGTAGGTGCTCTGCAATGTCACAGGCACAAGGGGTTAGAGCAAGAGGTAGTGTATTGCTACTCTCTATATCCCCAAAAAGATTCTCTACACACTTCAGGGCAGTGGGTCAAAACTATGCTTCATCGACCAAGAGGCTGACTGAAAACAAGGGAAATGGTCCTGGGCTGGGAGTCAGGACCCCTTACTGAGATGCAGATCCAGACCTGGCTTGGACTAATGGGTAACTCTGGGGAAGTTGCTCCTCCACGCAGCACCCCCATCTTCTCACCTGAGATGCTCTCCATAATCACCCAGTCACCTTACTACCCTAACGTGTAGTGAGTGGAATGTAAAGGGCAGATTTCTGGTGACACAGTGCAGTACCCACACAGTGACTTCTAAAACCTGTATAGTCCAAACAAAGCTTTAGTGAGGGTGGTCAGGGGCAATGTATCTGTGCAAGCGACGTTTGAGCACATCTGAATATGCTTACCAACCTGGGGAAGAAGCATTCCAGGATGAAAGAACATCAAGCAACTTTTTGTTTAAAGAATTTTTTATCCTTCATGTAGTTATTACACATAGTTAAAATTTCCAGGCTACAAGACCAGCAGGTGGCATGGTGGTTAAGGCACTAGATTCCCACATGGCCGACTACAGTTTGAGACCTGGACCTGGTGTCTTGAAAATCACACTGGGCACGTGTGCATGAGCGCCCAAAATCCCAGGAGCAGACTAGAGAAGAAGGGACTGTAACAACATGGCCATTCCCCCGGGGGGCTCTTTTCTCACTTTCCCTCTCTCTGTCTCTGGGGAGCATATGCACCTTATGGCAAAAAAACCTAAAAACAAAACAAAAAACTCTAGGCTATTTTTCTGCCTTGCCTTTCCTTTTTTTTTTTTTTTTTTTAATGCCAAAGGGCACATGCTCTTGCCAGAGAGAGGTAGAGAGGCGAGAGGTGGGAAGGGGGGGAAGGGGGAGGGTCAGGATTTGAGTCCTCATCAGCCATGTAGGATCCAGCTCCCATTAGCCACTAGGCTACAGGGCCAGCCTCTCCAACTCTTTAAATACACAAACATATCTTAGTTTTATAAGCCTAGGAACTAGTAGAGTACCTGATACACACAATACATGCCTGACAATTATTTCTAATTGACCGATTTATTATGTTTGAGCACAAACTCCACAAGAACGGGGTTTTATGTGTGCTTTGTCCACTACATAATCCCCAGGCCCAAAACAGTGCTTGGCATAAAGAACCTGCTCAAAGAATGTTTCTGACGGGAAGCATCAAAAATTTACAGAAAAATACTCATCTATTACAATCAGCCCCCAAATTAACCTAGAACACAGAGATAATCACCCTAATGCTTTTCCCTCAGTGCCTTTGTAGATCGTCCTTCCTGTCTAAGATACCCTCTCTATACATCAGCTGTATCTGATCTGACAAGTCACCTACCTGTCTTCCCAAATAGACTCCATACTCCAGGTAGTAAGGGCTACATCTTAGTCACATGCACATCTCCGGACAAGTCAGTGGCTCAGGACAATGTATTTGTTAAATTAAAGATAAACCACACAACACCTCCACAGACAGAGGCATCTCCCAGAGTTGTTATTTGATGACTATCTCCACCATTTCTACCTTATTTTAGTGCCTACATTATTCCCTTAATATTTGTTTGCCAGGGGACCAGCAGTTGGTGTAATGGCTATGTCACTGGATTCCCATGTGGTCGACCGCAGTTCGAGTCCTGGATCTGGTGGCTTAAACTCATGCTAGGCACATGTGCATGTGTGCCCAAGATCCTGTGAGGAAAATGGAGGAAAAGGGGTTGTGGTGTGGCCATCTCCCTTGGGGGGTGATTTCTCGCTTTCTGTCTCTCTCTGTCTTTCTGGCAAGCCCACGCACCCTATAGCAAAAACCCCAAGAAAAACAAAAAAGTTTGTTTGCAAGAAAAAATGTTTTTTCTCTAATGTAAATATGAAACAAGTTACATTTATCAGAACATTCAAGTAACCACAAAGTTACATACAGTGCAACTTTAAAATACCTCTAATTCTAAAGAAATACAGTTGTCTATTAGAAGCTGAGACTCAGAGCTGCTCTCTGAAAAGACATGGAGATTAAAGAAATGTTGAAGTTACACTAGCGTCAAACACAATTTCACCTCAACGCGAAGAAAACAAAAAGTTTGAAAAAGAAACAACTTTCTCATTATTTGACCCAGTGTTCCTTAATGCCAGGTCTATGTCCCATCTAAAATCATCTAAAATACCAGAAGTCTCATGTACCAAGTTCTGAGAAATAGTTATTACGGAGGTTCCACTTGAACCTTCGGGAAGCGAGACGGGGTCGGATCATGGAGTTGGACAAAACTAGACTCAAATTCTGGCCACAGTTTACTAGCTGTGCGACCTTGGGCAAATAAGTCAGCCTTTCTGTGTCTCGTTTTCCTTCGTCTGTAAAATGGGAACAGTAGGATCGTTCACGAAGTTGTTGTGGAAATAAAAGAGACCCTCAGCGCAGTGCCTGGGGCAGAAATAGCCAATAAATATCAACACCTATCACCACTCCCCTCTCAGAACAACAAAAAAAGACACAAGTCCGGAGCGCAGAAACCGATACACACACCGCCGGCTCCGAGCGTTCAGGACCCGAACGCTCTGCCTCTCATGAACTCCAACCTTTCTTTCTCCCACAAATCCTCACCTTCCCGCTGCCTGCGGGGCCCATGACCAGCTGCGCGTAACGCGGCATGTTGGCGCCCGGTTTCCCGGTGCCGCTCGCCACACTCCCTTCAGCCTTCGCGCGACGCCCACTGAGTTCCGGGAACACGAAGTGCGAACCAATCGCAATCCAAATTCCTTTGACGTTTACTGTTCCGCCACGCCTCTAACTACGGAGACTTCATCGGGTCAATTCCCGTGAGTAACGTGTTCTGAGTGAACCAGAAAGGCTGCAGGTGGTGCGCGTGCGCAGAAGCAGTTGGCAACTCGGCAGTTGGGATTCAGGCGTGACCTGGTTGCCAGGGTGATAACGGATAACGGATAACGCGCAGCATCCCTGAGCAGGGTGCTCTGGTCCTCGGTTTGCGCGCTGACGTTTGACTTACATGGTGACACCCGAGATTTGCAAATTTGCTGAGGGCCTGGAATATTGAGGGGGAAGGCACCTCTTGTTTTAGGGAGCATGTGTATTTCCTTCCCGTGACTCATCCCTTCCACAAAAAGATGCAAACGTGCAAACGCACCATCAACTGAGAAACTCCCGCCCCTTCCCCCGTTTAACTCCAGGGTCGAGGATCTGCCCTCCTCGCTCTCCCGAAGCTGTTCCGGCAGTGTCCGGACGGCGTCGGAGGGGGCTAGAATCCGCCGTCGTCCGCCTCTTCACCCCAATATCTCGGCGCCTGACGCACGCGTGCTGACGGGGGAGGGGAGCGGGAACGCGTCTCCCGCACACAGCTCGCGGTCGGGCACCGGGGAGATGCCGGGCCGGGGTGCGGGGTCCGACTGGACGGAGTGCTGCCCTTCCCTAGAGCCGCCCGCAGCGGCCGGGACCCAGGGCGGCGGCGGCGGGTGAGCCCGGGGCCCTGCGGGGCGAGGGAGGCCGGCCCTCGGGCACGGGTCGCAAGCCCCGGGTGGAGGGGCCGTGGGGGTGGCCGCCCTGCGGTGGGCTGTCCCCGGTGAGCTGCGGCGAGAGGAGGACAGAACCTTTGTTCTGGCCAGAAGGGGAAAGATGGAGGCTGGCTCCCTGGTTAAGGGATGGGCTTCTGGCAGACGCTTCGGTGGAGGGTTTGCTGCAATGACTAAACGCGGGGACTGCGACAGTCGCCTGCGCGCGTCTTTCTGCCCCGAGGGGGCGCTGCGAAACCTGCTGGGGAAGCCGGCCGGAAACCGTGCGGGGAAAGCCGCTGGCGGCTCGGAGGACAAGAGGGAGACGGCGTCCTCCAGCTCAACCGAGCGCTTCCGAGCCGGTCAGCCAGTCCTTGTGTGCAGCCTGGGCCACCTGTCTGCCAAGTGGGGGTTTCTAACCGCCGAGGAGACCTTGATGTCGACGTTTTCTAAACACTGGGGTCGAGCTTGTCATAAATCCATTTTATTCTGAGTAGATGTTCACTACTGTGTCCTGGATAGTGGGGACAATTAGCTGCCCAAGTCACCTCTAGCGGCAATAGCTACCTCTTCTTCCGTTATTTCCTAAAAGCGGGAGCGGCTGGGTGTCCGCCCGTTTAGCCCACAGTACAGTCATGGCTCCTGCTGCACCCATAGTTTGTTTTTGTTTTTATGTCTGGTATTATTGAAGGCTTTTTAAAAAATAGGATGGAGGGCCTTGTGTACCTTTCCTGGTCTTCGCAGTGCAAATCAGAGTACTATAATAAATCCTAGTGTATCAACAAACTCTTAGTCACTGAGTACACTGCAGGAAGTGAAAAAGGAAGGGTGTTCTCTATCACTTAAAGGAAAGAAAAAAAAATCCTGTACAGTTAGAAACATTACAGACCAGCTTATCAGTTCCAGCACACCTTAATTACTATTGATACAAGTCTTAGCAATATTCAAATTACTTTATTAAAAATAAAGACGGTAGGAAGATACGGATAGTATAGGAGCCCAGATTGCTTTACTGAGCTCGACCGTAGCAATTAAGTTGGGAAACTATAAAAGTAAAACCAAATCAGGCTTAAAGTAAATCTTTTCTAGTATGGTAAAAAAAAAAAAAATCTCAGATAACTTCTTTGAAAAATCATGGTGCCATTAGGATTTAACCAGGATTACAGGAGAAAATTTGCAAGACGTTATGTCTGATGGAAACATAAAAAGGGCAATACTATCTTTTTTTATTTGTATAATGTTCTTTAGTGCTAAAAAAGCTGTCAATTCCTACATGTTATTTATATTCTTTTTCAACAGATCAGCTGGACATCCTTATTATGAGAATTCCAAAGGTATGGTTAGTAGTTCATATAATGCAGATAATGCCTACAAATAACATGGCTCAGAGAACCTAATTTGCCCATAACTACTTACACAATAGAGTTTTAAAAATAGATTTTATTAGAACTTAATCTTTAAATTTTCAAAGAACAATCTAGCAGGTTCTTTCTCTATTGTTAATGTGCCTTGAATCAAGCATTTTTAAAATGAGCAATTAATGCTCAAAGAACTGTGTTTATAATTGTTGTTAGTTGAAAAACATAGCGCACAACGTTTAAACATGGGTTGAAGGAAAAAAATTTTAATTGAACTGCTTCAAGGAACATAAAATACTTCTCAGTGTTGATGTTTTTCTCTTGAAGTAAAGGATAAAGGTTTCCAAGTACTCACCTCTTCTGTGCTGAAATAAAAGAGTAAGATAAGCCCTCAAAGTCTTGTCATTAACTGCTTTCAAAGAGGGAAAAAAGGAAGTAGAGTTGATTCACCTTAGGTGTACGTATGTGCGTGTGTGTGGTCTTCAAAAAGTTCATGAATGGGACCAGCAGATGGCATAATGGCTACATCGCTGGACTCCCATGTAGTCCACTATGGTTTGAGTCCTGGACCTGGTGGCTTAAACTCACGCCAGGTGTGTGTGCGTGTGTGCCCAAGATCTTGGGAGGAGAATGGAGTAGAAGGGACTGGCATGGCCATCTCCCCCTGGGGGGTCATTTCTCAGTTTCTGTCTGTCTCTGTCTTTCTAGCGAGTGCATGCACCCTATAGCAAAAACCTCTCCAAAAATATTTTTAAAAAGTTCATGAAAATGTGTATTATGGGAACCAGCAGGTGGTGTGGTGGTTAAGGTGCTGGACACTCCCACATGGCCGACCAGGGTTCAAGTCCTGAATCTGGTGGCTTACTTTCTCACTTTCTCGCTTTCTCACTGTTGCCCTCTGTCTCTCTCTGGCCAAACTAAAAAATAAATGAATGAATAAATAAAATAAAAATAATTATTTTAAAAAAAGAAAAAAGAAAATGTGCATTATGAAAAAACACGGATTTCAAATGTTTTTACACCAAAATAAATTTATGAATTTTTTTAAAAATTTGCTAGTGGGCATGTGAGCTCACTGAAGAGAGACAGAGAAATAGTGAGAAAGTATCCTCCATGGGGGATGGTCACACTACAATCTCTTCTCAATTTCTCTTCTTGGGTTTTACACACATATGCACATGCACCCAGAGTGTTTTTCAAGCCACCAGGTTCCAGATTTGAAGCATGCAGTTGGCCATGAGGGATCCAGCCATCTTAATCACTATGGCACTGACTGGCTCAATAAACTCATACTTTGCTGCTGTTGTTCATTGTTTGAAACTCATACTTTAATTCCAATTATCTGCAAACTTTTTATTTATTATGATTTTTCTGCCATAGGGCACATGCACTCACCAGAGAGAGACAGAGGGAAAGTGAGAAAGCAACCCACCAGGTCCAGTACTCAAATTTTAGTCGGCAATGTGGGATGCCTTCTGCTGACCCCTCCACAAACTATTTGAAGTCTCCTTCTGTGTGTTTCTGTATGCATATATAAATCATTTTGGCAAGAAATATTTTAAGACAGTGCATGCACTCTCCAAAGAGTGAAAGAGAAACAGAGAGAAAGCAAGAGAAAGAGAGATCTTCCCCTAGTGAGGCATGGTCATGTGTCAACTCCTTTAGTTCTCCCCATCTAGAGTTTGGGCATGTATGCACACATGCTCAGCATTTTTCAGAAGGGGTCTGGACTTGAACCATGATTAGCCATGTAGGATCCAGCTCCCTTAACCACTAGATCACAGGGCTGGCCCATGATTTTTTTCGTTTAAAATTTTTATTTATTTATATATTTATTTTTTAGAGAGATTTTTGCTATAGGGCACATGCGCTCACCAAAGAGAGAGAGAGACAAAAAGTGAGAAATCACCCGTGGGCCATGCCCAAACCCTTCAACCTCCATTCTTCTTTTGTGATTTTGGGCACAAACACACACATGCACCCAGCGTGAGTTTTAAGCTGCTGGGTCTGGGATTCAAACCGCAGATGACTCCCTGGAAGTTCAGTGATGTAACCATTATACCTTCTGCTGGTCCCATTTATTTATTTATTTATTTATTTATGTATTTATTTGCCAGAAGGAGCATGTGCTCACGGGGGTGGGATGAGACAGCACTCCCATTGTGGGGTGGCTACTCTGAAATCCCTTCACCTCCATTTCTCCTGTCTTTTAGGATCTGGGGCATGTACACACACATACCTACTACGCTTTTCAAGCCACAGGATCCAGCACTGGAACCACCCAGCCAGCCATGTGGGATCCAGTTGCTCTAACTACCAGGCCACTCGCTGGCCCAGCCATTTATTTATTTAAAATTTTTGTCATAGGGTGCAGGTACTCACTGAAGATACCGAGAGAGACACTGAAATCTCTGCCCAGGCGGGATGACCACATTGCAATTCTTCTCCTCCATTCTCCTCTTGGGATTTTGGGCATGCACATATGCGTGCCTGGCGTGAGTTTCAAGCCACCAGGTCCAGGACTTAAATTACTGTTCACCATGTGGGAGTCCAACACCTTAACCGTGATGCCATCTGCTGGCCCCACCCTCAATTTATTTTTAAATGTTTCACTTTCTATAAAGAAATGGTATCAAGTTTTTGAGAAATTCACTTTTAGTTCAGGTTATAATATACTTCTCAAAAATATTGTTATCAAGGATGCAAAGGATGTATTTTTAAGTAAATAGCTTTCATTTAGAACTTCGAAAATAATTTTACAAAGTAAACTTTTATAATGTTAATTTGGTGGGTCAGCCCCATGACAGAGTTGTTGAGTGCTGTGCATGGATGGCTAACACTTAAGACCTGGCCTGGTGGCTTGAGAAACATACTAGGTACATACATATTCATGCTTAAAGCCCTGACAGGATGGAGAAATGGAGGAAAAAGGACTGTGGTATGACTGGGCCCCATAAAAGGTGCTTTCCCTCTCTCTCTGGTGAGTACACGTACCCACTGGCAAATTTTTCATATTTCCCTTTGTTGGGCTGGCAGGTGGCATAGAGGTGAGGTGCCGGACTCCCTCATGGCCAACCGTAGTTTGAGTCCTGGACCCAGGGGCTTGAAATTCATGCCAGGCACATGTATGTATGTGCCCAAAATCTTGAGAGGAGAATGGAGGGGAAGGGGTTGAGGTGTGGCCATTCTTCCTGGGGAGTGATTTCTCACTTTCTCTCTCTCTATCTCTGGTGAGAGCATGTCCCCTATAGCAGAAATCTCTCTCTTAAAAAAAAAGTATTTCCTCAGTATTATTATTATTATTAATAGACTCTATCTTGAGCCTAAAATAGAATTTTATATTTCTATTATATAACTTAAAAAAGTAAGTTACTGTTAAGACTTTGAGCTGAGTTCAAAATAACATAGTCCATGTATAATAATATAGATTTTCTAAAGAATTATTTAATTTTATTTATTCATTCACATATTTTTTTAGAGGTTTTTGCTATAGGGTGCGTGCACTTGCCAGAAAAACAGAGAGAGACAGAGAGACAGAAAGCCAGAAATTACCCCCCAGGGGAGATGGCAACGCCACAATCCATTCTCCTCCATTCTTCTCTCAGGATCTTGGGCACGCATGCACACACGCCTGGCATGAGTTTAAGCCACCTGGTCCAGGACTTGAACAGTGGCCAACTATGTGGGAGTCCAGCAACATAGTCATTAGGCCAACTGCTGATCCCCATTCACATATTTTTTAATTTGGCCAGAAAGAGACAGAGAGAGAGAGAGAGAGAGTGAAAGTGAGAAAGAAAGCCACCAGGTCTGGCACTAGAACTGCGGTTGGCCGTGTGGGAGTGTCCAGCACTTCAACCACCACGCCACCTGCTGGTCCCCAATAATGTATAATTTTATATATATATATATCTTAGAGATTTGTGTGCTCTAAAACCAAATGGTTTATCATACAACCTCTTTAAATTTAACATTCTCATGTACAACGCTCACGCTACTGCTTTAGGTTAATCACTGACACATGTAAATATGTAGCTCTTAGTAATTAAATTTGCTGAACTGACTTTTGCCTCTGAAATTCACATGATAATGTCCTTGCTTACAGATAGAATCAAAGATGGACACAAAGTGAATTCACACATAGCCAAGCTCCAAGAGTTATGGAAAACTCCTCAAATTCAAACGGTTCACATCCCTAAATCAATGATGGATGCATCGTTTCTAAAGGTATGCTAATGCAGAAATACTTAAGTACCAATATTCGTTGTATTCAGAGTTGAACTTTTATTGAAGAATAGCTACTTAGAGGGCAAGGCACTGCAGATAACAAAGTAGAACCAGCATACAGTCTAGGAGTCAATAAATACCTGTTGGATAAACTCATGAATGAATGTAAGGATCTCTACCATCAGAGTTCTTTCAAGGTGGGACCAGCAGATGGTTACGTCGCTGGACTCCCACATGGCCGACTGTGGTTTGTGTCCCAGACCTGGTGGCTTAAAAACTCACACTGGGCGTGCACGTGTGTGTGCCTGAGAGAAGAATGGAGGAGAAGGGACTGCGGCATGACCGTACCCCCAGGAGGTGACTTCTCACTTTCTGTCTTTCTGGCAAGCACATGTGCCCTCTAACAAAATCTTTCAAAAAAAAAAAAAAAAGGCATTATAATACTTCAGATCTAATGTACCTTTAACTGAGGAAGTTCATTGACCATTTACAGAGGTGCTCAAGGAAAATTCCATCCCAGAGATGAAAACCCAACCTTATAAAGATTTTACTCAAGGACTACAAAGATATAAAAAAGCTGGTAGGTAAAGAAAATAGCAATAATGATTTTGTCATTAAAGATCATATTGCTACAAGTATAATGTCTAGAGCAGTACAAATTAAGGTATATTTTTCTGACCAACGTTTTGACTTTTCTCTCAAAGTGTAAGTAGGATTTACTAATTATTCAGTAAAGTAAATCCTGAGTGTATCTACACATACATATATGATGGGACCTCAAAGTTTGTGGGGAAATGGAATTAAAGTATGAGCTTATTTTAGTGTAAATTTTTTAAAATTCATATAGTTTAAAAATAATTATTTATTTAAGTAATTTATTATTGTTATTCTTTAATTGGACCAAAGAGAGAAAGGGGTGGAGGGAAAATGAGAAAACAAGTCACCAGGTCCAGGGCTAGAATGGCAGTTGGCCATATGGGAGTCCAGCACCCTAACCACCATGCCACCTGCCAGTCCTGGTCACATAGATTATTTTTTATAATATACATTTTTTTTTTCTTTTTGGGGAGAGATTTTTGCTGTAGGGTACGTGCACTTGCTGGAGAGACAAAAAGAGAGAAATGACCCCCAGGGGGAAATGGCCACGCCACAATTCCTTCTCCCTTCTCCCCCTCAGTACTTTGGGCATGTACTCACCCTCAACTGACATGTTTTAAGCCACTGGGTTTGGGGCTCAAACTACAGTCGATTACATGGGAGTCCAGCAACATAATCATTACACCATCTGCAGGTCCTGTAATACTCATTATTCTATGAATTCTTTGAAATCTCCTTGTATAGTCTTGAGCGTTAACCTTTTTTATTTCAGAGATTTTTGCTGTATGGTGTGTGTGCTCGCTGGAGAGACAGAGAAAGTAAAAAATCACCCCCTCCCAGCAGTGGGGGGATGACCATGCCATAATCCCTTCTCCTCCTTTCTCCTCTCAAGATTTTGGACACACAAATTACGTACGTGCACACACACCCACACACAGCGTCATTTTCTTCTTTTTTTTTTTTAAGAATGATTTTATTTAAATTTATTTATTTATTTATTTATTTTAATTTGACCAGAGAGAGAGAGAGCAGGGGGTGGAGGAGTGAGAAAGCAAGCCACTGAGTCTGGGCCTCGAACCGTGGTCAGACATGTGAGAGCATGTGAGAATCCAACGCCCCTAACCAACATGCCACCTGCCAGCCCTCCAGCATCATTTTCAAGCTCCCAGATCTGGGACTCGAACCACAGTCAGTCACATGGGAGTCCAAGCACTTTAACCTGCCGGTCCCCTCAGCATTAACTTTTTTTTTTTTTTTGAGAGGTTTTTGCTATAGATCATGTGCACTTGCCAGAAAGACAGAGCGAGACAGAGAGGAGACAGAGAGACAGTAGGTTATCAAGGAGAGTCACTATTCTGTTTAAATGGCCATTTTGTTCTCTTTGGCCAGGTTAGCATAGTTGATTTGCTTAAGTAAAGTGTACATTTATCCTTTCAGATAAGGAGTATTGCCAACCTTTTGTACAGTGCAGACTATAAATCCTCTTATTCTATCTTTTAGCACCCAGACCTCACCATAGGCCAGAAGCGTTACCTGTGCAGCATTGCTAAGATCTATAATGCCAACTATCTGAGGACGTTAATGAAGAGACAGTATATGCACATGATTCAGCGCAGCTCACAAAAGCCAGGCAAGTGCACCTCTAGTTGGTTTCTCACTGGTTCTCACAAGAAGTGAGAGGGTCTTCTAACAGGGGTGATTTGTATGACAGGTGTCCTCACTCATCACAGGAGCCGCCTCAGCTCTCGTTACTTGCAGAAACAGCATTACCCCTGCACTACATGGCGACACCAACTGGAGAGAGAGGACTCAGGACCTTCAAACATGGCAGCTGCATCCACACCTGAAATGATCATACAGCATTCCCTTTGGCGACCAGTGAGAAACAAAGAAGGGTCTGTTTCTTATTGTTTAAGAGGGGGGAAATGTACCCCAATTTCTTTGAGGATGGCTAAGTGATATTCTTGTGTGCCTTAAGAGGTTCACTTGGCCAAATTCAGAATAAGTTTGACAAAAAGCAAAAAGTAAGATAACATCTTACTCTTGACTGAGCTGGTTAGGATTTGCCACTTCTTTTAGAATACTTTCCATGGAACTGAAAATATTCTTGATCAGCTAGATGTACAGACAACTGCCCTTTTCAATATGATCCCACTCAGAGACAAATGCTTCTGCATGGGACGATACTACAAAAGAGGAGAAAGGAAAATAGATGAAGAGCCTGAGTTTCAAACTGCGCAGTTACAGTTAGCTTTGCAGTTCAGGGTTAATAAATCACAGGAAAATGAAGGGGCTGAACAGTGCTTTAATGATGCTGGCAGTTAATAAAAAGTGATTTATGTGGTCTTCCACATGTATCAGGCAGCTGTTCATTTGCTTATTCCAATTAAGATACTTCCCTTTCTTACAGGTTAAAAACTGGATATGCATCTAAAACAAGATGCAAGTCACTGAAGATTTTTAGAAGATCAGGCAGACTGTTCATGCAACCAGGTAAATGTGGAATTGAAAAACATGTATTTTTGAGGATCTTGGGCTTAAAAAATGTTAAACCAAATAGTTTCATTTCTATTATGAAGACATTAAAAATTTAGAATGTTATTTGCCTCTACTGTTCCAAATAAAAAAATTAAACATAAAAAATTAAATACAATATATATTTTATGCTTCCATTTAAAAGAACATGTTGCTCAAGGGAGTGAGGTCCAAGATTCCTTTGCTTTGGAATTATTTCTAATTCCAAACAAAGACATTTACATTATGGTGAGAGATTTTTTTTTTCAGAATTATTTTATTTGACTTTATTTATTTATTTTAACTTGACCAGTAAGAGAGAGAGTGAAAGAGAAAGAGGAAAAGTGAGAAAGCAAGTCACCAGGTCCAGGACTTGAATAGCGGTTGGTCATGTGGGAGTCCAGTGCTCTTAATCACCATGTGACCTGCTGGCCCCTATGGTAAAAGATTTAACAGAGAACGAATTAGTCAGAACCCAAGGTTACAGACATGACTTTTTCAAGCCACAGCACCTCTGAGATAGTGCCATTTTTGGATAGATGATATATTTCGTATAGAGCATCTAGTAGTTTACAAAGGGCTATACCACTTACACTGTTTTGTCTGATATTTAACAAATCCATGGAGGCAAAACATGCAGTTGATATTATCAAAAATGTATAGATGTGGGCAAGTAGCATGGAGGCTGGGTGCTGGATTCTCAGCTGATGACTGACTGTGGTTCAAGTCCTGGACCTGGCAGCTTGCTTTCATACTTTCTCTCTGCAAATTGAAAAAAAAATTAAATCTTTTAAAAAATGTATAAATGCAGCAACTCAGAAAAATGCAAAATTTGGAAGGACCAATATAAATAATTATTTTACACAAGTATAGAATACTACAAAATGGGAGCCAGCAGGTGGCATGGTGGTTAAGGGCACTGGACTCCTACAGGGCTAACCACAGTTTGACTCTTGAACCTGGTGACTTACTTTCTCACTTTATCTCTCTCTCTCTCTCACTCTGTCCCTCCCTGGTTAAATTAATAACTTTTTTTTTTTTTTTGAGAGGTTTTTGCTATAGATCATGTGCACTTGCCAGAAAGACAGAGCGAGACAGAGAGGAGACAGAGAGACAGTAGGTTATCAAGGAGAGTCACTATTCTGTTTAAATGGCCATTTTGTTCTCTTTGGCCAGGTTAGCATAGTTGATTTGCTTAAGTAAAGTGTACATTTATCCTTTCAGATAAGGAGTATTGCCAACCTTTTGTACAGTGCAGACTATAAATCCTCTTATTCTATCTTTTAGCACCCAGACCTCACCATAGGCCAGAAGCGTTACCTGTGCAGCATTGCTAAGATCTATAATGCCAACTATCTGAGGACGTTAATGAAGAGACAGTATATGCACATGATTCAGCGCAGCTCACAAAAGCCAGGCAAGTGCACCTCTAGTTGGTTTCTCACTGGTTCTCACAAGAAGTGAGAGGGTCTTCTAACAGGGGTGATTTGTATGACAGGTGTCCTCACTCATCACAGGAGCCGCCTCAGCTCTCGTTACTTGCAGAAACAGCATTACCCCTGCACTACATGGCGACACCAACTGGAGAGAGAGGACTCAGGACCTTCAAACATGGCAGCTGCATCCACACCTGAAATGATCATACAGCATTCCCTTTGGCGACCAGTGAGAAACAAAGAAGGGTCTGTTTCTTATTGTTTAAGAGGGGGGAAATGTACCCCAATTTCTTTGAGGATGGCTAAGTGATATTCTTGTGTGCCTTAAGAGGTTCACTTGGCCAAATTCAGAATAAGTTTGACAAAAAGCAAAAAGTAAGATAACATCTTACTCTTGACTGAGCTGGTTAGGATTTGCCACTTCTTTTAGAATACTTTCCATGGAACTGAAAATATTCTTGATCAGCTAGATGTACAGACAACTGCCCTTTTCAATATGATCCCACTCAGAGACAAATGCTTCTGCATGGGACGATACTACAAAAGAGGAGAAAGGAAAATAGATGAAGAGCCTGAGTTTCAAACTGCGCAGTTACAGTTAGCTTTGCAGTTCAGGGTTAATAAATCACAGGAAAATGAAGGGGCTGAACAGTGCTTTAATGATGCTGGCAGTTAATAAAAAGTGATTTATGTGGTCTTCCACATGTATCAGGCAGCTGTTCATTTGCTTATTCCAATTAAGATACTTCCCTTTCTTACAGGTTAAAAACTGGATATGCATCTAAAACAAGATGCAAGTCACTGAAGATTTTTAGAAGATCAGGCAGACTGTTCATGCAACCAGGTAAATGTGGAATTGAAAAACATGTATTTTTGAGGATCTTGGGCTTAAAAAATGTTAAACCAAATAGTTTCATTTCTATTATGAAGACATTAAAAATTTAGAATGTTATTTGCCTCTACTGTTCCAAATAAAAAAATTAAACATAAAAAATTAAATACAATATATATTTTATGCTTCCATTTAAAAGAACATGTTGCTCAAGGGAGTGAGGTCCAAGATTCCTTTGCTTTGGAATTATTTCTAATTCCAAACAAAGACATTTACATTATGGTGAGAGATTTTTTTTTTCAGAATTATTTTATTTGACTTTATTTATTTATTTTAACTTGACCAGTAAGAGAGAGAGTGAAAGAGAAAGAGGAAAAGTGAGAAAGCAAGTCACCAGGTCCAGGACTTGAATAGCGGTTGGTCATGTGGGAGTCCAGTGCTCTTAATCACCATGTGACCTGCTGGCCCCTATGGTAAAAGATTTAACAGAGAACGAATTAGTCAGAACCCAAGGTTACAGACATGACTTTTTCAAGCCACAGCACCTCTGAGATAGTGCCATTTTTGGATAGATGATATATTTCGTATAGAGCATCTAGTAGTTTACAAAGGGCTATACCACTTACACTGTTTTGTCTGATATTTAACAAATCCATGGAGGCAAAACATGCAGTTGATATTATCAAAAATGTATAGATGTGGGCAAGTAGCATGGAGGCTGGGTGCTGGATTCTCAGCTGATGACTGACTGTGGTTCAAGTCCTGGACCTGGCAGCTTGCTTTCATACTTTCTCTCTGCAAATTGAAAAAAAAATTAAATCTTTTAAAAAATGTATAAATGCAGCAACTCAGAAAAATGCAAAATTTGGAAGGACCAATATAAATAATTATTTTACACAAGTATAGAATACTACAAAATGGGAGCCAGCAGGTGGCATGGTGGTTAAGGGCACTGGACTCCTACAGGGCTAACCACAGTTTGACTCTTGAACCTGGTGACTTACTTTCTCACTTTATCTCTCTCTCTCTCTCACTCTGTCCCTCTCTGGTTAAATTAAATGAAAGTTAAATTAAAAAAAACAATTCTTTTAAAAAAGAGACTACTACAAAATGAAAAAGGCAAAATAGGAAGAAAGTCTGATCAGTATTTCTCAGACCTGACAAAGTACAAGTTAAATAATTTCCTATGTATTACTCTAGTGGATAGGGAAGTGAGTAGAAAATAGGGAAATTAGGCCCACAAATCACTATCCTATCATATGACAGTGTCACCCAGATCTGCTGTAAATGTCATACTGTGCCTATCCAAGAAATAAGAGAAAGGGCAGGGGAGAAGGTATAACAAGGTTTTTCTTGTTCATAAAAAGGAACAGTTAGGGGAAACACCAAGTAAGGAAGAAGTCCCTGCATGCCCAAAAGATGAGAAAGGAACAAAAGGAAACTGGACAGACTCTGAAAATATAAACTGACCACTTGGGACCAGCAGATGGTCCAACAAAAATAATTTTTTTTAAATTTTATTTAACTTTATTTATTTATTCATTTATTTTAAATTGACCAGAGAGGGACAGAGCAAAAGAAAGAGAGAGAAAAAGTGAGAAAGCAAGCCACCAGGTCTAAAACTTGAACCATGGTCGGCCACGTGAGAGTTCAGCTCCTTAACCACTACACCACCTGCTAGCCCCTACAAAAAGAATTATTAAAAGGGGTATTTTGGGGCCAGCAGACGGCATGTGGGTTAAGGCAGTTGGATTCCCATGTGGTTGACCGTGGTTTGAATCCCAGACCTGGGGCTTAAAACTCACACTGGGCGTATGTGCACGCATGCTCCAAATCCCAAGAGAATGGAGAAGGGATTGTGGTGTGGCCATTCCCCCTGGGGGGTGATTTCTCACTTTCTGTCTCTATGTCTCTCTCTGTCTCTCTGCCAAGCACACACGCCCTATAGCAAAAATCTATCCAAAAGAAAAAGAAAAATTAAAAAAAAATATAAACTGGCCACTTTACCCCCTAAACAGAAGATTTTGAAAATTACTAAAAACACAGGACTTAATAACAGGGCATTTGCTACAGAGTAACTTGGCTAGAATATAGTTCTAATCATTTTAGTTACTTTTATTTATTTATTTGGAGAGATTTTTGCTTTAAGGCACATGCACTCAACATAGACAGAGATAGAAGGCGAGGAATCACAGACCCCCAGAGGGGATGGCCACACCGCAATCCCTTTTTCTTCATTCTCCTCTTGGGATTTTTGGGCACATATGCTTACATGTAAGCCCAGTGTGAGTTTCAAGCCACTGGTCAGGGACTTGAACCATGATCAACTACGTGGGAGTTCTGCGACACTACCATTACACCATCTGCTGGTCCTAATTCTAATAATTTTTTTTTTGAGAGGTTTTTACTATAAGGCGCATGCACTCGCCAGAGATAGAAAATGAGAAATCACCCCCCAGAAGTGATGGCCACATCGCAATCCCTTCTCCATTCTCCACTCAGAATCTTGGGCACGCACACACATGTGCCCAGCATGAGTTTAAGCCACCAGGTCTGGGACTCGAACTGCGGTTGACTATATGGGAGTCCAGTGACCTAGCCATTATGCCAACTACTGGTCCCTAATCATTTTATTTTTTAAAAAGATTTATTTATTTACCTAATTCCATTTTTCTTTGAGAGATTTTTTTTTTTTTTTTTTTGCTATAGGGCATGTGCGCTTGCCAGAGAGGGACAGAGAGACAGAAAGTGAGAAATCACCCCCTCGGGGTGATGGCCACGCTGCGATCCCTCTTCCTCCATTCTCCTCTCGGGATCTGGGGCATACATGCACATGCGCCCGGTGTGAATTTCAAGTCACCGGGTCCAGGACGCAAACCGCGGTCAACTACATGGGAGTCCAGCAACATAGCCATTACGCTAACAGCTGGTCCCATGTTATTGTTATTTTTTAATTTGACCAGAGAGAAAGGGAAAGTGAGAAAGCAACCTACCAGGTTAAACTGCAGTTGGCCATGTGGGAATCCAGAACCTTTATCCACCACGCCACCTGCCAGCCCCTCTAATCATTTAAAGAGTAGGAGATTTAGGGCAACAGAGCAGTGACTAAGAGTTGCAGGCAATTCGTTTTTATTTAAGACTTATTTAAAAAGCTAGGTCAATTTTTAAAAATAATTATTCAACTTTATCATTATTACTTTTTTAGAGAGAGATTTTTTTTTGCTGTTGGGTGCATGCACTCGCCAGAGAGACAGAAAAGTGAGAAATCATGCCCCTAAAGGGGATGACCACACCATAATCCCTTCTCCATTCTCCTCTTGGCATTCTGGGCGCACATGTACATGTACCCAGCTGAGCTTTTTCTTTCTCTTTTTTTTTTTTTTTTTTAAGAATTACTCATTTATTTTTTTGTTTTCTTTTTTACTCATTTAATTTTATGTATTCATTCATTTTATTTTAATTTGACTAGATAGAGACAGAGAGAGAGAAAGGAAAAGCGAGAAAGCAAGTCACCAGGTCCAGGACTCAAACAGTGGTCGGCCATGTGGGAGTGCCCAGTGCCTTAACCACTATGCCACCTGCTGGCCCAATTGAGTTTTAAGCCACAGGGGGTCTGGGACTCAACTATGTGGGAGTCCAGTGACATAACCATTATGTCATCTGCTGGTCCCTTATCATTATTTTTTAATTTGCCACCATGTACACTCAGCAGAGAGAGACAGAAAGAAAGAAAACGAGAAAGCAAGCCGCCAGATCTAGGACTTGAATCATGGTCGGCCACATAGGAGTCTAGCACCCAAACCACCACGTCACCTGCTGGCCCAAGCTAGGTAATTTTGAAAGTTGTACATAGAAGTTTATTTCTAAGTTCTGACATTAACACTGACATTATAAACTCATTGTTCCCTCAGTTTCTTCAAATGATTCAGAATCATACATGAATGAAGAAAAAAAGGAAGAAGATTTACTAAATAAGTATATGCAATCAATGTCAATTGAAGAACAGGGAGAACACCTGATGTTAACTTGACAGTCTTGTCTTGTACATCAAATTCTACCACTCACTGACATCCAGATATTGTGCCAAAGGTGGGGGGGATGGGGTTGTGAGTTGTGTCCTCTTCCTACATTTAGAATAGTATTGTTATCGATCACTAAGTCATTAAGTAATTTTGGTTTGTTTAGAAATGTTTACAATTGGTCTAATGTTTTCTGTGTACCACTGCTGTTTGTGTAGTAAAATTTATGTGTAATATATGCTTGTATTTCTAGCTAGATATAATTAAAATGTTTATCACTTAAAATTGAATCATTCACTTTTTTAAAGAATTCTTTTCTTTAAGGAATTATTTCCTTCCTTCCTTCCTTTCTCTTTTTCTTTTAATTTGACCAGAGAGGGAGAGAGAGAGAGAAGGAAAATGAAATCACCCTCCAGGGGGGAATGGCTACGCCACAATCCCTTCTCCTCTATTCTCCTCTTGGGATCTTGGACACGCACGCACATGTGTCAGGTGTGAGTTTAAGCCACCGGGTCTGGGACTCAAACCGCAGTTGGCTACATGGGAGTCTAGTGACATAGCCATTATGCTAACTGCTCATCCTGAAATAAAATAATTCTCAAAAAAATTGTGTTAAACCTTGAAGAAAACGACAATAGCAACAGTTTGAAGATTCACTCCTGATTGAATATGCCAATATGGTGTGTTACTTAGAAAACAGAATCTAAATCTAACATTATGACACAGAATGATATAAAAAAATAAGAGCTCAGAAAGGTCATCTCATCTGCTTCTTCACTTTAATATTTATATATGCACAATTTTTTTGGTCTCTTATTTTTAAAAATTAAACACGGGTTACCAAGAAAGTATAAATGAAAGGTAAACATTTATTACGGAGAAAAATGTTACACGAAAGTCTAGATTCTTCCTCCTCATGCATTACTTTGGTAATAAAGTTCCAAATGTCAACTTTGAAGATATTTACAAGGATAAATTTCTTTAACACATGACCAATTACCGTGTGGTGGACATTTTTTATAGAAACCATATACTGTAAACTAAATATATCTTATAGTTTATAAGAAGCTTAGAGCAATTATGTATTAACAGAGAAGATGGTATTATATTTTACTGCAAAATATTATAAAAGTGATACAATTTTGTGGCTCTTAAATGTTTACTTGATTTGAACAGAGGACTGAAACAAAAACTGAAAAACCATCAAGATGGCCCTGGTTTTAAGATTTTTTGTATTCAATTCGTTCTACTTTCACGTCATCTCCAATCAGCTGATACACATAAGTGACCACTGTAGAAGCCTGGATATCCATCAACACAAATGATGGAATAATGTTTCTGAAAGAAAAAAAATACATGTCAATGTTTTGTACTACAAGGCAGTAGCATTATTAATTTAAGATGACAAGCTGGATTCAAGAAAAATCTGTTACTCACATATTAAAAAGAAAAACTACCAAAAGATTGCAAAAAAAAAAGACACACCTGGAATTATTTACATGTTCAAATTTTTCTTTTGTGAAATTTCACACATGCAACTGTTTTACTAAAACCTATAAATTCCCAAAGTATATACTACTTACGTTTCCAAGGCATTATATGCCCCAGTGGCAGAACCTGGATTAATGTAGAATTTATTTTCATGTTCAAATGCTTCAAATTTGTGTGTGTGTCCAGAGATAAGAATGTCCACATCAAACTGCCTCTGCAACAGGGCTAAGCTGGCCATATCTCCCCAAGGAATAACTTGATGTCCATGGATCAAACCAATTTTGAACTGTCCAACAGTCACAACTTTCTGTTCTGGATAATTCAGATTCTAACATAAGAAACAGACATAAGAAAATGTCTCAGAGATACTGATTTTAAAAAAAATTAATTTGTTTAAATAATTGAATCACAAATCATTGTTTTGATAGAGTGGTTGACAACAAACACATTTACAAATGTTTTATTTCTTTTCAGTCTCTAAGGTTGCAATAATGTTTAGAACAAAACTTACTCTATGTAAGCTGAAATTTATCATGTAATTTCTTTATTGTGTTTTCCTCTATAGAATATGGATTCTGTGGGACATGCTATAAAAAATTATCCCCCAAATTGTGATTTTCCTCACCTAAGACACATGATCTACAAACCAGAGTGTGTTTAAATTATGTCCCAGGCTTTAATACTTATATAGATAGGTTAAAATAGTGATAGTTAGCACTAAAGTAGTGATAGTTATTCTAAAGATTTTTAAAATATCCACTTATTTACTACTCACAAACAATCCTAAGAGGTAAATTTTATTATGATCATTTTATGGGTGAGGAAACTGAGGCACAAGATAAAATAACTTGCCAAGGTCACATGCTAGTAAGTGGTTGAGCTAACATCCAAACTCTGGGTCTGTGAAATTAACAAACTAGAAACAAAATATTTTAACTCTTGCTTACTATCTTTTTTATTAAAAACAAAACTATCTTTAACATAACACAAACAGATGCCCTAATGTTAAAAAAATCCCACAGACCTATATTCCAATCAGCAAGAAATTTACCCCCTTCCTTCTCATCCCCATCTTTCACTTTGTAGAATGTTCAGTTTATTCTTTTTAATTTGTAAGACAGAGCCTTGCCTCAATCCTGCCTTAGGCTCCTCAGTCACTTGAGATTACAGGTGCATGGTACTTAAATTGGACCAAGAGTCAAATCTAGGTCTCCTGTGTGCTTCCAGCCTGAGGAGCACAGTGTTTTAGTAGTGTATGCCACGGTTGTTGGGTCAAGCTTCTTTTTTATAAGCCACTTAAAAGATACCATTGGGCCAAAAGATGGCATGGAGATTAAGGTGGCTGTATCTTACACGGCTAACAGTGTAGTTTAAGTCCTGGATCCAACAGCTTGAAAATCACACTAAGTGCATGTGTATGTGTGTCGAACATCCCAAGAGGAGAATGGAGAAGAAGGGATGGTGGTATAGCCATCCTTCCTCAAGGATGACTTCTTACTTTCCCTCTCTTTCTCTCTGGTAGATGTACACTCCCTAGAACAGACCAAACCAAAAAAAAAAAAAACAAAAAAAAAACCTATTCCCTCTCAGGTTAGTATAAAGGAACCTCACTAAAGAGGACTAACCAAGTCAAATAATTTATGAGAAACTGTTATGTTCTTAGAAATACAAGTTCCATGTTAAATTGGGTTGACCACGCTAAGTCATATATAGCACTGTGAGAGGTCTTAAAAATCATCCAGTTGAGACCAGCAGATGGTATAATGGCTATGTTGCTGGACTCCCATATGGCCATGGTTCAAGTGCTGGAACTGGAGATTTGAAACTCATGCTGGGAATTTATGTGTGTATGCCCAAAATCAGGAGAGGAGAAGTGACTGCTGCATGGCCATCCCTCCTGGAGGTTGATTTCTCACTTTCTGTCTCTCTGTTTCTGTCTCTCTGGCATGCACCCTATAGCAAAAATCTCTCTCAAAAAAAAAAAAAAAAGTTAAAAAAAATTATATGATCATGCTTACCAAGGCTCACGAAGAGAAGTAACTTGTCAAAAATCTCATTACTAATAGACAAAATCAGAATTCCCAGAACTTTACATTTTTTCTTAAAACTCTGGTTACTGCAGTATAATTTACATATAGTAAAATCCATCATTTTAGTGCACCATTCAATGAATTTTGACAAATGAATACGGCCGAGTAAACATCACCACAATCATTGATAGAGAACCCCTCTACTACTCCTTCAAAACTGTCCCCCAGGGACCAGTAGATGGTGTAATGGTTATGTTGCTGGACTCCCACATAGTCTACTGCAGAGTGAGTCTTGGACCAGGTGGCTTAAAATGTGCACCAGGTGAGAACCAACAGTTAGCGTAATGGCTATGTCGCTGGACTCCCATGTAGTCGACCATGGTTCAAGTCCTGGACCTGGTGGCTTAAACTCACACTGGGTGCGTGTGCGTCCTTACCCGAGATGAGAATGGAGGAGAAGGGATTGCAGCATGGCCATCCCCCTGGAGGTTGATTTCTTGCTTTCTATCTCCGTCTTTCTGTCGAGCGTATGTGCCCTATAGCAAAAACCTCTCCAAAATAAAATTTATACCAGGTGCACGTATATGTGTGCCCAAAATCCTAAGAGAAGAATGGAGGAGAAGGGACTACAGTGTAGCCATGGGGGCTGGGGGGTTATTTCTCGCTTTCTGTCTCTCTGGCAGGACATGTGCCCTACAGCAAAAATCCCCCCACCAAAAAAACAAAAAACAAAAACAAAACCTTCTTTGCAATTTATTTGTCTGAGAGCATGTGAACTAACCAGAGAGACAGCGATAACGTACCCACATTGAGGCATGGTCATGCTGCAATCCCTTCTCCATTTCCCATCCTGTTAGGATTTTGGACACACATGCACAGCTGCTCTGCACATTTTTCAAGCCACAGGAGCAGTATTCCAACCACAGTGGGCTATGTAGCTTGGAACAGGGCAGCAGAGTTGGTAGTGGTGGTGTACTTCTCATCAAAAACTTTATCAACTAAATTAAGAGCACCACAAAATATTAGTTACAAGGGCTAGACAGTAGTGTAATAGTTGACCACTACGTAGAAGCAGTGAGATACAACTGAGGCAGTTCCAGCCCTCGTGGCAACAGGCCAGGATGCTCATACATGTCCAAGATCCTGATAGGATGGAGAATTGGAGAAAAGGGGATATGGTGTGACCAGGTCTCATGCAGGAGGGTTTCCTTTGTTCTTTCTCACTCCCATTCATTAACAAAAAAAAAAAAAAAAAAAAGGGAAAAAAGTAACATGGCTATTGTACTTCTATTCAGTATTAATTTAGTTAGAGCAATATTTAATATGTGTGTACCAGGTAGTCTCAGTGATTTTCAAACAGTAAGAAAAGACATGGATAGTACTTTTATGTGTAGAAAATTAAATAAAGAAAAAGACCTTACCCATTGAGAAACCCTGGTCTAAAAGATAAAGCTTAGATAAATAAGAATCAAAAAAGGTAAACACATGGGAAGGGAAAGGGAAATAAATACATCACCTCATCAAAGTCTCCTCTCACAATATGAACATCACCCGCCAGAGTCTTGAGATAGTCGTAACTCTCTTTGGTGCAAAGGTTTCCTGTGCAGAGAATGTGCTGAATCTTGCCTGGCACGAGGAGTTTTTTAAATTTAGCTGGCAAACTGTTGCACCGATGTGGGATGTGCAGATCTCCTAATACCAGCACCAACTTTAAAGTGTCAAGGTAAGATAAGCAAAATATTAAACATGATGTCAAAACTAGAT